CCCGCCCCAGACATCTGTGAGGTAGTGGGAGTGCTGTCTACTTCGTAACCTTGTGTTTCTGCCTGTGTTGTGTGGTGATAGAAATGGAGCCGTGTTAGTCTGGTGCAGCTGGAACAAAAAACAGGACCGTGTAGCACTTTAAAGACTAACAAGATGGTTTAATAGGTGACGAGCTTTCGTGGGCCAGACCCACTTCCTCAGATCAAATAGTGGAAGAAAATTGTCACAGCCATATATACCGAAGGGTACAATTAAAAAAATGGACACATATGAAAAGGACAAATCACATTTCAGAACAGGAGGAGGATGCGGGGGGGGCTAAAGTAAATGTTTGTGAGCTAACGATATTAGAGTAGTGATAGAAATGTAGCCGGGTTAGTCTGGTGCAGCTGAAACAAAAGACAAGACTGTGCAGCACTTTAAAGACTAACAAGATGGTTTAGAGGTGCCAGTTGTGTGATGGGAGATTCCCAATGACTCACTCCCAGGGCGTATTGGCCGTAGACACCTAAGGGCCAGCCTGAGAAGATAACTGTGTTCCCGGAGTCAGCACACGTAGCGGCTCCAAAAGGGCCCAGCAGCGAGAATCCCCCAAAGCACCTTGCCTTCTCTAGGGCCCTGCAGGAGCAACGCTCCCTCTAATCTGTTCCGTGTGCGGAATCAGTGCTGTTCTGTGCCCCGAGGCATGAGGGAATGTGCACCACCAGCAGCCACACACACTCAGCTGGGGGCGCTGGAATCTCTCCTAGGACTCAGACGGCTGTTTGCGTCAGGGTGTAACCTGAACCAAGCGAGGGGCATGGCTACCTGGGGGACGGGGCAGTCTGGGCGGAGGGAGCGGGAGGGGAGCAGCTTCCCCCAAGAGGAGGAAGGGCTCTGCTCTGGGTACCAGCGCTAACATCGGCCTACGCTACGCTGGAACCAATACGCCTTCCCCTCTGCCGGCCGGCGGAGAGTCCCGTCTGGCTGCGGAGGGGGCGCAGGGCCGGGCTCCCCGAGGCCCGTCGCCCCCGGACTCACCTCCTCTGGCCCAGGCGGATCGCTTTCAGGTCCTCGCCGTACTTGTTCTTAATCCACTTCAGCCCCTGCAGCTGGGCGTCCACGATGAGCGGCCAGCGCTCGGTGTTGCACAGGATGGTGGCGTTCTCCGTGGACATGCGGTCGCTGGGCAGCCCCTGGTTGTTCCAGGTGGCCACGTCCGCGTCGTCCGTCAGCAGGCTCAGCGGGTCCAAGCCTGGCGTGACCGGAATCGGCACCTGCAGCACCCGGGAG